GGCTAACTCTGACCACAAACCCTAAGACTAACTCTGACCACAAACCCTAAGACTAACTCTGACCACAAACCCTAAGGCTAACCTCACAGGTACTGATACCGATGTACCATCGATACAACGATACCGATGCCAGAAACTGAGCCTAAAACTAACCTAAACTCAATTCACACCTTGGTCCTAAACCCAACCCCCAACCCACCAATGGCATTTAAACCAAACGGGGACTCGACTTTTGTCCCCAAACGCACCAGTTGTCCCCAAAGGTTGGCATTTTGTCTTAAAATTGCCCCAAATGTCACCAGACACCCCCCAACACACACTGTACAGTATATTTCCTATTTTTACCACATTAATAAAGTACTTTAGCTATTTCTCATTTTGTGGTAATACTTCTCGATTGTGGTGACACATCTCTTCTCAGTAAACTGTAAACATCTCAGCAGATACAGGAAATGATGAATAAGCTGTATTTAGTCCTGTTCTAGCCAACAAGGCTCCTCAAAGCACTTACAACTCAAAAATGTGGCCACAGCCACTAAGAACAATGTGTTTTGTTATAGTGGAAGCATGCAAAAACATATCTTTACTATAGTTACTGACTCATAAACAGGCAGTGTGTTTAGAAAGACGAATTAGCTATCTGCTATGTGAACCTTATTACACTTCATATGAGCTTTGGACCATTTAAAGTTTGTCTTGGGTTTCTTGTAGCCATAAAAGTACAGAGTATAATCCTCACGAACAGAAACTGGAAGTTGTTTCTAAAAGAAAGGAGCTCCAGTGGCGTGCACAGACATTATGGAGGGCAGGAGCTCAAGTTGAAAATAAAGGCATGTTGTGCAGTTTTATTCTGTCTCATTCAGATGTTTCAACACTCTACATGTTGATTTTTGTAACAAATAGGCAACAACAGAACAAAAACTAGTAATGATAATGTGTTGTTATTTGTTTACAGTGTGTATAACATAACCACCTATAATAAAGTTTTTTTTTTTCACAAAATGACTCCTGGCTTTCTTGTTCTGTGGAGGATCTTTCTTCTATCTCTCTCTCATCAGAGAGTTGTTTCTGTTCATGCTCTAACATTTCAGCTTCATCTGTGTCTGACTGATGTTTTCCAATGCTTTGTCTCCCTCAGCCTTCATGTTCATAGATGTCCTCCTGCAGGACAACATAGAGCTTCTCTGCTGTAGCTAAATGACCAACAATTAGAAATATGATGTTTATTTGGGTAAAACTGCTTGGTGACAAAAGTCAGTGCAATAAATTATAACATTTAAACTAATCAGACTCTAAATCACTGTCATGGTCAAAATGTAACAGGCGTAACTTACACGGGGCTATCCTACATTTCACTAGTAAAGTGTTCTGCCACATGTCCTGTTTTACTATAACGTAAGCGCCAAATATAAACCCCTCCATCGCTAGCGAAGATGCACACGTTCTGCGTGAAGTACGAACCGAGCCGAGACCGCCTGGTGCGCCGCAGTGCGTGCGTGGTGCGAGTCAGATTCACTGTTTTGTTTGTCCCATATTAAAGCAAAGGTGAATCTCTGTTTAACGTCCTCATCCTCACCTGGAGAACAGCACCATGTTCTCCAGGTGAGAGTGTTTCAAATGTTTCTGTAGTTTATCAGTTTCATTCTTCACTGTTTGTTTATATTTAGAACCACTTTGGCAGGGCTGCTCTGTGATAAATGCAATTCAATAAATGATCACATACGTATGTAGAATAAACAAATGATTACATGAGCTTGAACAATTTAAATAACTGTTAAAATAAATCAGTCTTACTAATAAAAAGTATTTTCAAGTAATTTTGTTCCGTGTAACAGACAGATATTCGCTATAATTTTCAAACAAATAATTAGGATTAGTCTGGTCAAATAAAGGTCAATAAATAAATCTGTCAATCCATCATTAGTGTTCTAACCAGTTCCAAACATCCATGTATCAGTTTTTCATAATACAAGCTGGCAAAAGTAATTTTCTTTATGTCACCATTGTTTGGCACAGAGTTAGTTTATGTTCTGAAGGCTGCATGATGTCATGTCAGTTTGTTACGAGTGGACCTGTCATTAAATCAGGCAAAGAAAGGCCTCCTAAACTCACTCTTATCAGTATTTTACCTGTTTACTGGGTAAAGTTTTTAATGTTCTTAGTTTTAAACATGACATTGAGGCTCATCTTTGCTTGGCACCATGGCAAATCAAGAATAAACAACATAAACGTAAAATTATCCCAAAATCATTGTTTGTGATAAATTGTGTCACATTAATTTCATTATAGTGGCTATAGCAGTGAGCTTAAAAACAAGATGATGCAACTAATTAAATGAAGAATCTGTCTCTAATTTAGTTATTTAATCAAGTGTTTTTATTTAGGTAAAAGTACGTTTAAGAACCTGTAAAATACACCAGAATGCAGGAAACTGCATCTACTAAATTCAAAATTTTCTGGGGGGAGGACCCCAGACCCCCCCCCCCACACACACACACACACTGAGCACTTCACACACATTACAATGTTTGTAGAGAGAATAAACTAACACAGAGCACCACCTGTGTACCTCTCTGTTGTATGAAAAGTATGAAACCCCCTAGCTGTGTTTTTTTTTTTTTTTTTTTTTTTTTTTTTTGGGGGGGAGGGTGTATTTCAGTCAAAAGATTTTTTTTCACTTTAACCCATGTATACCTGACCAAGGGCCAATTTCTGTTATTATAATTTTAAATAACAAACAGTTCTTATAGAAATACAAATTATATTTTCCAATTCCAATTTATTTCTCAACGCCCATAGAGATGATTGTGGCCTTCAAAAAGACCACAACACCCCCATCACCACTGTAGCCTGCTACCGGTTCCTCAGCACCACCATCACCCAGGATCTCAAGTGGGAGTCGACCATCAGTTCCCTTATCAAGAAGGTCCAGAAGAGGATGTACTTCCTGTGACAGCTGAAGAAAGCTAAGCTGCCGGCCAGGCTGATGGTGCAATTCTGCACGGTCATCATCAGAGGGGATAGAGCCTTCTCTGTTAGTGCCCCTAAATTGTGGAACGCCTTTCCCTTGCATGTTCGACAGGCCCCTTCACTGTCCATTTAACTCGTCTAAAAACTTTTTTCTCACTGGCCTTCAACCCAACTGAGATTTGATTTTACTCAACTTTTACTGTGTTGGTGCTGATTTTACTTATTTAACTGAGTGATTTTATTGTGTTTTTGTATTGAGTTTTTATTTCATGTGTTCAACACTTTGTTTCAGCTGTGGCTGATGTTATAGCACTTTATAAATAAAGTTTGATGATGATGATGATCAAGTCCATCCTCAGCTCCTCCATCACGGTGTGGTATGCCGGGGCCACTGCCAGGGACAGACACAGACTGCAGCACGTTGTGCACTCTGCTGAGAAGGTGATCGGATGCAGCCTCCCATCTCTCCATGACCTGTACGTCTCCAGGACTGTGAGGCGAGCAGGTCGGATCACAGCTGACCCTTCTCACCCTGCAGGCAGCCAGTTCATCCCACTCCCCTCAGGCAGAAGGTTTCGGTCCATTCGGGCCAGAACATCCCACCATAAGAACAGTTTCTTCCCCTCTGCCATCGGACTCTTGAACATTTAGAACACGTCACTCTAAAACTCTGCCTTGGCCACTTTATCACTGGATTTTAAACAGCACAACTCTGACTATATTGTTTTTCTGGTCTCTTTTATTACTGGATCTAATTGCACTACTCCAAATATGTGGTCTGCTCTTATTGAACTGGTGTACGTACATATGTTTATATATTTTATTCTATTTTTTTTCTTTTATCCTTTGTATTTTCTTTATTTGTTATATTTGATACCTATTGCACCTTTACACTGAAGCAAATTCCTAGTCTGTGAATCCTGTTCATTGACAACGGCAATAAAACTGATTCTGATTATGGTTTCTGTTGAATTTAGAACATACATAACTTGATTTTCTTGACTTGAAAGTTGGCCATCTGTCATGAGAATAACTCACTAAACACAGAAAGAAAAGAACAAACTATAAAATTTTTTCTCAAATAAAGTATTACCTTTGGGGCCGGATCAAAAGTTGAAGGCCATATTTGGCCCGTGGTCCTTGAGTTTGGCACATGTGCAATTCTACATATAAAAGAAATCTGAGCATAGACAGTTTGTCTTTTCTTCTTCATCTTCCTCCTCTGCTGCTTGTTTAACCAGGAGTCCCCCCACCCACCCTTCTTTTCTAGACATTCTGCTGCAGAGGGTAAATGAGGTATAATCGACTTCACAGATGGCACAAAGTGATGAGTGATGGATTGAGGTTTGGGGTTAAACAGGGTAACATATTCTGTGGGACAAAAATGATGCATTTGAGGGACAATGTGCGACACATCACCAATGTGTCATTTTGTCATAGATCTCACATTTCATTCATTCTTTTCTGCTTTCAGAAAAAAATCTGTTATATTTTAGGGTTTTTAAGGAAAAAATGTACATTTATTTTAAATAAATACTTTTTAAAAGTGATCAGAAAAAGCTTTGGTTAAAAAACATTTAAGGTTTAACATTTTTTTTTAATTTTATCATAATAAAATAACACAAAACCATAAGCAGGTCCACACAAGTCTACCTGGAAGGAGCAGAACTGCTCTGGACTGAACTGCTGCTAAACACTGATGATCTGCTGCTGTTTTTTGTCTGTTCATAAACTGATAGGCAGATTTCTGAGCTGTGGCTTCGTTGTGTGAATCGTTGTGTGTTGCTTCATGTTGTGTTTCCCATCAGGAAAAACTGAAAAAAAAATTTAATTGACAATTATCTCTCTAAGAATCATCTTTCACTGACCTTACCCATTTCCCAGTCATTCTTTTGCTGCAATTTCATTTCTTTGACGTAGTTTGTATTACATTCTGCATAAATCAAATGCCCTATTCTTTGTCTGAATGTGCAGCATGTTCACTGTAAGCAACACTGTGCAGGAGTGCTGCGGGCGTGCACGTGTGTGTGTGGTGAAAGGAGGAGGTGAGGGCAATATTGGTTTGGGCATTTGAGGGCATTGGTAATTGTAATCAGTGATGGGCAGCATTAATCTAAAAATTAGTTCCACTAGCCCTAAAACACTTACTTTAATATTTAGGTCCCCTAATTCTAAAGCACTAACTTTAATATTTAGRTCCCMTAAYWCTDAAGCACTAACTTTAATATTTAGGTCCCCTAATTCTAAAGCACTAATGCACTGAAAGCTTTAGCAAAAGCTAATTCTAAAGCACTAAAATAACCCAGTCAACCCATGAACATTCTTCAACAGACAATATAAGTCACATGTTGCCATGTCGCTCTCTTAAAACTTATCATTAACATTCCACAGCCTTATTTGAGTTCATATATTGTCACCTAGTGGATAAGTGACACACATATGAACAAAATGTGTGACAGTTTTCATCTTCAACTGTGATGTTGATCAATAACATTTAGACCTCAGTAAGTGCTTCTAAATTTAGCCTATAAATTTAGCAAGTGCTAATCCACTAATAAATTTTAAAATTAAGAAAAGCACTAAAGCACTAATCAGGAAATTAGTTCCCCTATTAGTGATTTAGTGGAACTATACCCACCACTGGTTGTGAGCTTAATATAAAAGTGCAACAAAGGCCAACAGATGCAGTGTAAAACTAACTAACTAACTAACTAACTAACTAACTAACTAACTAACTAACTAACTAACTAACTAACTAACTAACTAACTAACTAACTAACTAACT